TGGCCTCAGGACACACCAATGCCCAGAGATAGTCTCCATTAAGTAATGTTCTTCTATGTTCTGCTTCAAGTATCAATCCCACAGTGGGCCCCACACTTACAAGTCACTTTTATCCTAGAAATCACAAGCACCCCAGGCACACTTTCTAACAATAACTATTCACAGATAGCTCCAGACTCCCGTCCAGTGGGTCAACCACTCTCACTGCAGCCTTTCTAGCAGTCAGCCTCTCTTCAGTCAGAACTCCATTCCTAAAAGCATAGTGACCTCTTTAGTCTCACACTCATTCCAAAAGAGGCATCTGTACTTTATTATTTTTCTTTTCCTCCTCTGCAAGGATCCTAACAAATAGGGAGTTTTGTTTATAAGTTGTCAATAACTGACTTGCAAGTAGGCAGGAGCAGATGCCTCTGTCCTAGAGGAGGTGATATCCCAAATTAAGGATCACCAAGGCTCAAATCCAACTCTGCTTCTTTCCTGTGGAAATTCGGCAAGTGACTTAATCTTTATTGGCCTCAATTTCCTCATGAGTAAATGGATTAATAACAGTAGTAGCCACTTGCTGTTGGAGGGTACAATAAACAAATTAGAGTAGCCACTCTACTGGGCTATCAGAAAGATTACATTTGGGGCGAAGCCTGTGGCTCAGAGAGTAGGGGGCCAGCCCATATACTGAGGGTGGTAGGTTCGAACCCAGTCCCAGCCAAACTGCAATAAAAAATAGCTGGTGTTGTTGTGGGCTCCTGTAGTCCCAGCTACTCAGGAGGCTGAGACAAGAGAATCTCCTAAGCCCAAGAACTATAGGTTGCTGTGAGCTGTGATACCACAGCACTCTACTGAGGGCAACAAAGTGAGACTTTGTCTCAAAAAAAAAAAAAGAAAGAAAGAAAGAAAGAAAGATTACATTTGTTTGGGGGGTTTTGTTTGTTTTTTGAGACAGTCTCAGTTGCCCTGGGTAGAGTGCTATGGCGTCATAGCTCACAGGAACCTCAGACTCCTAGGCTTAAGTGAACCTCTTGCCTTAGTTTTCCTATTTTTAGTAGACACAAGGTCTTGCTCTTGCTCAGGCTGGTCTCTAACTCCTGAGCTCAAGGGATCTTCCAGCCTTGGCCTCTCAGAGTGCTAGGATTACAGGCTTGAGCCACCTTGCCTGGTGAAAGATAACATTTGTTAATCTTTTTAAATACTTAAAACAGTGCCCAACACATAATAAGCACAAAACAGTGTTGGGTAAGTAGACGGTTATCAGAAACATCATTGTTTGGTATTACTACTGGAACCTCCACTTGACCACATTTTGGTCTGGTTTAGCCTTTCCCCTCAGCAGCAAGGCCAAGCTGTATCTTATTGCACATCAAAATGACTTAAGGAGTTTGGGGGGGGGGCATATATTTTAGGGCCTTATTGGTTCACTCATTCAACAACAATCTGAGCACTTATGATCCCTGAGAATAGGATAGGCAGTAAAATAGACAAAGTACCTCCTGTCAACAAACTTACCTCCTAATGAGGTGGCTAGAACAGAAAACTTTTTCTATAAATGACCAGAGAGTAAATACTTTAGACTTTGGGGGACATACAGTCCCTGTGGAAACCGTTCAATCCTGCCCTTTTAGTAGGAAAGTCGCCCGATTGATATGTAATTGACGGGAGTGGCTGTATTCTACTAGAACTTTATTTAGGGACACTGAAATTTGAATTCCATACAATTTTCACATGTTGAGGAATATGATTCTTCTTTTGACTCTTCCCCCAACCATTACAAATATAAAAACTATCCTTAGCTCTTAGGCAGTAGGCCAGTGCGATCCCTGAGATGGACAAAAAGTGCTGTGGCGTGCGCCTGTAGTCCCAGCTACACCGGAGGCTGAGGCAGGAGGATTTCTGGAGCCCAGGAGTTTGTGAAAATGCAGTCTCTGACCCTTCACCCTGGGTGAAGTGCCGTGGTGTCGTCATAGCTCACACGACACCACGGCACTGAGGTGAGCTATGACGGCACCACAGCACTTCACCCAGGGGTACAGAGATTGTCTCAAAAAGAAAAAAACGGTCTAATAGCGTTTACCATTTTGTGCACAATGAACATTCATTATTTTGTGATCTAAAAATCTACTGACAGGCCTGCCAGCAACATCCTAAATCCTAACCCGGCTTGCAACCGGAGGGCGTCGCCCGGGAGTGCAGGAGGCGGCTGCAGGCCCCACCCGGAGGCGCGGGAACCGGGGCCCCCACCTGACGCAGGTGGGAGGGCAGCACCGGGCGCCCCTCCGGGCAGAGCGCGCCGCGGCCACTCCCTCCTCAAGCCGGACGTGGCTCCAGAATCCTAAGTAGTGTTGGCGTGGAGACTGAGAGATGCCCTTGTCCCAGGGTCTGTTTTGGGATGAAGGCAGAGGTGCCGAGTTGTTTCGACAACTTGGACCCCTGGTCCTCAGAGGATGGGAAGATCAGCTCCTCGCCTGAGGCGGGCTTCCTGCCTCTCCACTTGGCCAGAACTGCGGCTCTGCGCTCCCGGCACCCGCGGGCCGGTCCCACTTGGATAGTTTAGCCCCTCCTCCTCCTCATCCCCGCCCCTTCCCCGTGCTTCTCCAGGTCCCTCCGGGTCGGTGTTCCGTGAGCTTGTCTGTTTGCAAGCTACCAGAGGAATTCAGTTCCCAGAAGAGCAAAAGTGTCTCTGGACCTAGGTGGGGAAAGAGCTGACTGTGACCTTGGTGCTGTCCTGGAGGACCCAGCCTTCGGCTGAATGGCAGCACTCACGCTAGGCCGTCTGGTTCTGACCCACGTACTGGTGGCTCTCTTCGGCATGGGCTCGTGGGCTGCCCTCAACGGGATCTGGGTGCAGCTGCCTGTGGTGGTAAAAGACCTTCCAGAGGGTGAGTGGGAGGGAGGTGCAGGGAAGCTAGGGCTCTTCCTCCCTTAGCCACAGTGCCTCTGACATGGCATCCTTCCTTCCCTGCAGGTTGGAGCCTCCCCTCATACCTCTCTGTGTGTGTGGCGCTGGGGAACCTGGGTCTGCTGTTGGTGACCCTATGGAGGCGGCTGGCCCCGAGCAAGGGCGAGCAGGTCCCCATCCAGGTGGTACAGGCTCTGAGTGTAGTGGGCACAGCCCTGCTGGCTCTTCTGTGGCATCACGTGGCACCAGTGGCAGGGCAGCTCCACTCTGTGGCCTTCCTAACGCTGGCCTCGGTGCTGGCACTGGCCTGCTGCACCTCTAATGTCACTTTTCTGCCCTTTCTGAGCCACCTGCCACCTCCTTTCTTACGGTCTTTCTTCCTGGGTCAGGGGCTCAGTGCCCTGCTGCCCTGTGTGCTGGCCCTAGTGCAGGGTGTGGGCCGTGTCCAGTGCTCGCCAGCCCCCACCAATGGCACTTCTGGGCCACCCCTTTACTTCCCTGAGCGTTTTCCTGCCAGCACGTTCTTCTGGGCACTGACTGCCCTTCTGATCACTTCAGCTGCTGCCTTCCATGGTCTCCTGTTGCTGCTGCCATCACTACCATCTGTATCCACAGAGGGTCTAGGGCCTGCACTGCCAGTGGCAGCCCCACAAACAGAGGAGGAGGAGGAGGAAGAGGTCTTGCCATTGCAGGAGCCACCAAGCCAGGCAGCAGGCACCAACCCTGGCCCAGACCTTGAGACTCACTGGCTGTTCTCAGCCCAGGGTGCCTGCCTGCTGGGCCTCCTGGCTGTCACCAGTGCACTGACCAATGGTGTCCTGCCTGCGGTGCAGAGCTTTTCCTGCTTGCCCTATGGGCGCCTGGCCTACCACCTAGCTGTGGTGCTGGGCAGTGCTGCCAATCCCCTTGCCTGTTTCCTGGCCTTGGGCGTGCTGTGCAGGTGCACAAGAGTCCCCAAGCCTGTTAGTGGGTGGGATTTAGGGGTGGGGCTGGGTCTTGGTACAGCTAGCTCTGAGCCTCTGCTCACCTCCCACAGGTCCCTGGCAGGTCTGGGTGGCCTCTGTCTGCTGGCCATGTTCTTTGGGGCCTATGTGATGGCGCTGGCAATCCTGAGCCCCTGCCCACCCCTGGTGGGCACCTCTGCAGGCATGGTTCTTGTGGTGAGCACAGTGGGGACATGAAATAGGAAGGGTGGGTTGCACTGGAGCAGGAGCATATGATACTCAGCCTGCTGCTATGTCCTTTTTCTCAGGTGCTATCATGGGTGCTGTGTCTGGGCACATTCTCATACGTGAAGGTAGCTGCCAGCTCCCTGCTGCATGTCAGGGGCCGGCCTGCATTGCTGGCAGCTGGTGTGGCCATCCAGGTGGGCTCCCTGCTTGGTGCTGGTGCCATGTTCCTTCCTACCAGCATTTACCGCATGTTCCACAGTGGAAAAGACTGTGTAGATCCCTGTACACCCTGAGCCTCTGTAGGTGGGGCCTTCACTCCACCCCGTCTTCACCTTGAGGCTTTCACAGGCCTCCCCACATATGGGAATGCTCAGAGATTCCTCCACACTCCTCAGGACACCCTGCCACTTCAGGCCAGGGTGAAGACCCAAGAGGAAGCCTGGGGCCAGGGACAGGTTGGGGCTGTGGGCTTGTCCCTTGGCCTGAGATTGTCGTGGGATTTGTACAATAAAGCATTTTTATTTTGAAAAATATCCACTGAAACCTTACAAGAGAAGTGGGTTAATTTTTCAGATATATTTTCTAATCTGCAGAGAATACAGGTTCAAATACAGGTTGTAGGCTAGGCGTGGTGTCTCGTGCCTGTAATCCTAACACTCCGGGAGGCTGAGATGGGCAGATTGCTTGAGTTTATGAGTTTGAGACCAGCCTGAGCAAGACCAAGACCCCATCTCTACTAAACATAGAAAAAAATTAGCTAGGCATTACACACGTGCCTGTAGTCCCGGTTACTTGGGAGGCTAAGGCAAGAGGATCACTTGAGCCCAAGAGTTTGAGGTTGCTATGAGCTATGATGACACCATGGCACTCTACCCACGGCGACTGAGTGAGATTCTGTTTCAAAACGAAATAAATAAATAAATATACAGGTTGTAATGCTTTTCTTATCATGCCTACAGCTTCTCTTTTTTAGGTTTTCTTGTCCATAATCTTTATTAGTAAATTGATTCTCTGTCATTTGTTATGGGATTGTCCCTTAAAGACACTCTAACATGCATTCATTCGCACAGATTTCTAAAAATCCTGTTTCCTAATCATCATTTTTCCCCCTGCATTCTCCTCACAACCCAAGCATGCTAAGTGCTTAGTATGGGTTGGTGTTCAATAAATACTTGTTGAACAAACACTTTAAGAGCCTTTTTCAGAAGATAGCGATGGGGTGACAGAAACATGGATTACTTCAATTTTCTTCCTTCTACCTTTTTGTATTTGTTTAATTTCAAAGAAAATAAACAGCAATCTAAAGCCTCCTCTAGTAACCTTAGGGGAAAGGTTGACCTACTTCCCTTGCAAAGTCCCTACAGCAGAAGTCGCTTAAGGAATGCTTCTCTTTCCTTTCTTCGGATCAAGGAAGGGGGAGACATGCTAACTCTGAAAGGAATCAGGTCGTCCCTGCTGGAAAACGAAGATGATAGCTAGTCCTGGAGGAAGAAAAAGTCACCGCAGGGCCCCTGCCCACTCCGGCGCCGCCCTCCTCTACACCTCCAGATCCAGACCTCCTGAGAAAACACCGCCTGCGCAGAAAATAAGGAGCCGCCCCACTCTTAGCTTGTGAGCCTGCGCC